AGTCAATTGACTTTCTATAGAAGTAATTCAAGTCCTACTTCAAAACTACACCCTATGCAAACAAGAACCTTCACGTCAGAGGAGCAATGCAGGTAGCCTTAGCCTACACACTGAAAGCCGTATTCCTGACATAGAACACTAGAACAAGCTGTATGTACCCAACCACCCCATGCAAAGTTTGTTTCACTGTGTGTTTGTTCTCATGGAGAACAAATAACTCTATACATACCCACGTGGTCATTTAATTCATGTGCATGTTTCTCCCACATACACAGGTAATGCACTCCATTATCTACCATCCAGTCGAAAGTGTGAGTATATGATGAATTTAATGAAACAGCCTTTTTTAATCCTCACTTGCTTCTCCGTAACCCGATGCACTAGTCCCAATTCAGTGAAGTCTGACTACAGTAGCTTTGCTTCAGCCTCTGGACACTCTCCCTGTCCTGTACAAAGAAGAATTAACGCATCAAGTTCTATCAGAAGAGTTAAAGCTTTGTTTAATATATCTGTTGGGTTTTATTTACGGAAAAAACATAGCCCAAGGAGAAAGGAATAGTATCTTGGGACAGAACATATACAGAAACATTTGCAGAACAAACAAAAGTAACCCTTCTTCCCTCTATCCAAATTCTAAGGTGACAGTGAAAAGGTAAGACAGTTATCTGAAGTAGTGAGGGAAATGAAGAACTGTCTTGTCCTCAAAGCCTGTGGCAAAAGCAGCTTTTGTCTCTGTGTATACCCATTTCATCAACCCAAAAGTAGATGACTTCCTGATTTTACAGTGGAAGAGAGGGTTAGCAGTACTATACTTAATATTGTAATAGAAAGTATTTCTACACTACCACCTCCAAAAGAAAGGAGAAAAGCAAGCTTTCCTAGTTTTCGGGGTGAATATCAGATAATACCGTTTTTGCAACGGAATAGGTTAAGGGTTGAGTGACAAATGACTTACAAGTACTTCATCACCAGATAAGCATAAAGCTATTCTCAAAAAAAAAAATTGCAAACAGACTCCTGATGATGTATCTGTCAGCTAAGACAGCTGGAGAGTTTATAAAATACCATCTTGCATAAGCCAAATCACTTCAGCAGCTCTGCAGTACATACACAAAAAAAGACTTAACATACTATTTAAGTATTTCTTGCAGGAGTCCATATGCTTATAGCACACGCAGATCTTGTTGGGGTTTAGTTTGTGAGGCATTTCATCTGAGCAGTGACAAGGACTCTTCTTGACCTGAACTCCTACGCCTGGATGGCACTTCACCACACCACAGGGTTCAGAGCTTTCCAGCTCAGCTACCACCACAATCCATTTTACAACATGGCCACACCTTGCTACTTTCTCAGGGGGCCACATTAACTAAGTGCTAATTAACTGGGCTATTATCTTAACCAAGATATCAACTATAGTTTTTTTGTCTCTTCTCTAGTGCCTACAAAAGATAAGATAAAAAGCTATTTGCTGTGCTATTTCATATGAGTTATAAAACAATCCAACTGAGCTAGTTTCTAGAAAAGCCCACACATACTGGCAAGTTGTCAGGCATCTCATAGGGTTATTTTCTTAAAAAACTTGGGGTTTTTTTCTGCCATCTGTACTAGGACCTCTCTATGCATAATACAGAGCCTACAACAAGAAGATGCACTGAAACAAAATTCTGGAGAGCTATCAGGAACTGCAGGATAATTCACTTCCTTACCCTATCAGATTTTGAAAGTTCACTTAATACTTGTATGAATAAAGAACATTCCACTTTGAAATATTACAGTTTCAGAGAGTGGAGCAAAGTCAGAGAGTTAAGAAGCACTTCTGCCCCTTAAAATATTTTACAATTGCTGCTAAAAGTAGTATGATGACTTTTTTAAGAGCTTTACAGACTTTTGAGAAATCAGTGTATTTCAAGCAGACCTTTTAGTCACATAGAAAGTAACTGTTATATTCAAATTCATGTGGCACAGAATCATTTAACACACAGATCAAGAAGTTTAATAGATAACCCAAGTGCCAAAAACATGCCTAACTGACAACCAACCTTTTAACTATTAAAGACAGACTGGCAGCGTGAGCTGTTCATTCACTCAGTCAACTAGAGTTGTAAGCACTGAAACTATCAAGTAAGACTGTTTTGAAGCCTGTAACAGACAGGTAAAAACAGATAGCAAGACAAGTATGACTCCCAAATCAGGATCATAATAAGCTTTCTTATAAGAGAGTGATGCGTTATTTAGTGGTGCAGACACTGCAGGTACAGACACCCAAGAAAGAACACTTGATGTGAGAAGCACTTCCAAAGGTAGACAGTCTAAAATTACGTAATTATCCCCCTGAAGTTTAGGTTATTTTATTACCTTGAAATCACATGCACACAACAACTGCATTTTAATTTTTCAGCAACATATATAATGCAGGTTCCTAATCTGTGCAAAACCTTTCAATAAAAAAAACGACACACACACATATACACCATGTTTCAACGTTGTTCATAATCTGGAAGGACTGTAGGCAAACTAAAAAGGTCAGGCCATTATGGTTGTATTACAAAGATACAAATGAGTCCAACAAAGCCAAAATTAAGAGCGAAATTCCAAATGCCAGCAGACATTTTGCACATCAGTGCAACTGTCAGATATTTAGTCCAACTTTAAGGCTAGAAACAGATTAAGAACGCATTTGGTGTCTAGCTTCCCTCTCATCTCAGAACGGGAACATTTTTTTAGGTTCACAGCTCAAAAGATTCTGTTCACCTAAACAGCTGTTACTCTTTGTTCTTGACAAATATCCAGCTCCCCACTCTGAAGAGGGAAAGATGGAACTTAAGCCAATACCAGTGCCTACAAAGCACAGAGTCTCTAGAGAGTGCTCTCAATTATTTTTGGGAATCTTAGTCAGCGTACACCAGCCCACGGCTAGCTGGCAACACTTGGAGCTCCCTTAAAGGAAAAAGATTCAAATGCCATTATGACAGCTATTTGGGAGATATAGTTACTTTCTTCTTTATGAAAATGAGAAAGATACAAAAGGAATTACAGCTCCCAAATAGCTGTCTGGACAGGGACAAAACTTTTGAGAAATATCAGTATTTGTTTAAACAGTGAAAGTGTTAACATTTTACTTGTCTCACAAGGAAGTTACATCTTTGTTACTCTTGCAGACACTGAGAACATGAGAGGTTTGTTGTCCAATCTGGACAGAGAGGTGGTTGTTCCATCAGAGTTCCCACACTGTCTACACACTGGCAAGCTTGTGGGGAAGTCAGTAGTTAATTTGTTCTATCCTACTACCTTAAATCTTGATATTCCACATCTCTAAACATAGGTTAGGAACCCAGGAGCTTCAATGTTTCTCTTTTAGTCTCTCCTACTGAATTCCACTGAAAACAACAGTGGACAACTGTGTTGGCTAACTGCAAGACATAAGTGACACTGAAGAATAATTTCACACTACTTCTAGCTAAATGAATGAAAACAATCATTAAAAACATACTGGGTTAAAAACAACAGCAAGTCTTCAATGCTATGATACCAGGTGAAACTATGTTACACGTGCAGCTTGCATGGAATACCAGCACACTGGAAAATTTTCATTAAATAGTTGGGCCAACCAGACAAAGCAGAAGAGCATTCACATAACCTTGAACTGATACACAACATGTTTTATAAGCCGCCTTCTACACATACAAGAGTAAACTCTGAAGAAACTTCAGGACCTGCAAATCTATTATGAAAAAACATTGAGACAGCTTCTGCTGTAAGGGAGATTAGCAACCTTGAATTTTATATACAATGACCCTGCTTATATGGCTAGAAGTCCAAAACACCTGAATTTAGTTTAAGGAGACTCTGGATTTAAACACTCTCATTTTATTGGTATCATTTTCTCCCCAGCTTTTTGTATTAGAAGCCATCAACATGAGGAGTCTTCCACACCGGTGTGGTTATCCCAATACAAGCCTAGTTAGATCATCATAATTTGCATTAACAAATTCTCCAAATCCACTTTCATCTGTTAGAGAGGAAACCTTACTGTCATTGCTTTCAAAGTAGCCTCAAGTAATCTAGAGACACACAGGTGGACAAAACAGAGCTGTTTCATCACACCAACCACACTGACCTTAGCCCTTCCCCAGGCAATTCCTGCCACATCATACACTTAGATCTCTAACTCCGATTAATATTAAACTGCTATCACATGCAATTCTCAGTCAAAACGTAAAGCTGAGCACTGAGGTGTGCCTCCAGACATACACCTTCTCCCCCACCAAGCAGCTGCAGATTTGCTCTCCTCCTCTGCACACTCACAGGCAATGCTCCATTCGGGGGGGACACTGACTCGCACCCCTCTACATCCCATTTTTAATGACACAGACCCCAAAAGCTAATTTCCACCAAAGCAGAATTCTGAAGCATTTTTTAGCCATGCCTAGGCATAGCTACAGAAGGCCCTGCTCGCAGGCAGCCTTACAGAGGCCTGCTTTTCATCAGTGACGTTTTGAATTGAAAGCCGTTCAGGGATTTGGAAGGAGACCAGAGACGTCTCTCCCTGCCCCGCCACAGACCCACCCGAACCCCGAAAATCCACCCCATCTTGCTCCAGCGCCTTATAAACGACGACGGCGACGGGCAGCAGCCCCCCGGCCCCCCCCTCCGCCGGGGCAGCGACCACAACGCCCTTCCGCGATGGAGAAGGGAGGCGGGGGGGGGAAACACCCCAACCAACCCACCCAAAAGGCACAAATCCACCCAAACCCACAGCCCGAAGCCTTTAGGGTGGGTGTGCGGGTGTGTGTGTCCGTGTCCCCGCGCCGCCTCCCCCGCCGCCCCCCAGGACGCGTCGCCATTTCGTGAGGCAGGAGCGCTCCGAGCAGCCCGCTGCGGAGAGGACGGGGAGGGGGAAAGCGTCGCGGAGGGGATTAAGGGGAAGAAACCCCACACGCATCGAGCAACGGCCGGCCCGGCCCAGGCCCCGGCCCCACCGCGCCCCGACCGCCACTCACAGTTCCGGATATCGGAGATGAAAACGGCCAGGCCGCGCATCCCATCGCCCTTCGACACCGCCGGCATGGTGGCGCACGATCACGGCCGCCCAGCCACGCACCAAACCGCCGCAAAACCGGGACCGGGGCCGCCGCCGCCGCCCGCTCTCCCCGCGGGGCTCTCCAGGCCGCGGCCGCCGATGCAGCGCGCAGGCGCCGGGGCGACTCCCGCGCCCCCGCGAGCGGCCGGAGCGCGAGGCTTTGGCGCCACCTGCCGCGCGGGGGCGGGGCGCGCCGGGACTGCCTCCCGCCGCCCCCCCGGCGGGTCCCCGCAGGAACCCGGGCCCGGGAGGGGCGGCTGCCTTGGAGGCGATTACCGGTCACCGCCGTCAGGGCAAAACGGGCCCAGGCCGGGGCGGCGGGCGGCCCCCTTCCCGTGAGGGGCGGCCGCTGGAGCCGTGGGTGGATCCACTGCGCGCTCCCTGCTCGAGAGCGGCCTAATCCCTTCCTCCCCCCCCCCCCCCCCCCCCCCCGCGCCCCTGATGATCGAGAAGTTTTATGATTTCCCAAGGAGAAATAGCGGGCTTGGCAGGTGCCTCGCGGGACGTAACTTCTGAGGGAGAAGGAGATGGACTGCAGATCGGGAGACGTGAACATGTCACTTCATCCTCAAGCCTGGAGCAGGCTGTTCATCTTGGGGCTTATTTCTAAAATGTGGGGAGCGGGGCACAGGCTGCAAGAGCGTGCTTTTCCTCAGGGCGGACTGACGGAGGCCGTGCCTCAGCCCTCCGGCTCAAAAGGAGCCCCAGAACTACCTCACCCACCCCACACAGCCCCTCTGAACATCTGCAAGCCCAAGAGCTACTCCCTGCAGAGCCATCCCTTGTCACCCACCCCCTGCGAGCCCACCCTCAGCTGCGTGGGGGACACACCCGCTCCGTGTTACACGCGACAGTGCCCACTCCCCCGACTCCGTGGGCACGCGGGCGCGCAAACCCGGGGCCACGTGTTTCTCGAAGGCTGAGAATGTGCAGAGCGACACGGTCCCACGCCACGTCCACTCCTGAGACTGAAAACATTTCAAGGTTAAACTGTCTTAAACATGCCAAAGAGGTAGGACTGTGCAGAGCATTTAATCTCATCAGCTGGAAATAGGTTCAAACGGTGTCAAAACTGACCTAGTCTGCCTAACCAAAAGTATGCTGAGAGTTTCACTCGTAATGCAAGTGATTAGGATATTCAGTGGATTACAATGACCTGTAGAATCATGGTGTTCAGGGCTACTGGAGATCAATCAGTCATTTAATCTGTTTTCCTGTGTACTTCGATCTGTTTCATTTCATCTGTTCTGGATTTCTGTTTAGGGGGTTTTTTTTGTTTGTTTTGTTTTGGTTTGGGTTTTGGTTTGGTTTGGTTTGGGGTTTTTTTGGCATTTTTTTGTCTGTTTGCTTGTTTTTTCCCCTGAATTGAGCCCAGTACCTAGCTCCAGCCTCTCTCCCAGAAAGGCACGCAGTCTTCTTCTGACATCATCAAATTCACCGTTTCCCTACGTAGTTTGTTCCGTTCCCATGGTTAATCGTCATTTAGAGCTTGCATCTTATTTAAATTTATCAAGCTCCAGTGCCTTTAAGCTAATGATACATTTTTCTCTCACAGATAAAGAACTACATAATACTTGATACTGTATCTCGGATACTGTTTGTACACGGCACCTTTCAAGTGTCTGTTCTACATGTTTTCAGGATGCATTGTTACATGAGTGCTTTTCAGTTGTGTAAGTCTCTGTCAGAAAGACAAGATGGCAGTATGCAGTAGTCCCGCATAGATCCTTTTCTCCCTGGATCCATTTTGTAGACCAAGTGCAACTACAGGCATTTGTGCACAACCAGTCTTGTATTCAGCTCAGATTCTCTGCATCTTACATGAAGAAAGCTCTCCTTTTTCACAGCTTTACAAACAGATTTTGATGCTTAACAATAATTTCCATTTACCTTTGAAGATGAAAACTTAAGATGTCACTACGTAGGAGCTGCTGTTTCAGAAAAATAGATCTGTTTTGAGCTAGCCAAAATGTTGAACTAGTTTCTACTCTTAAGAGCACAGTGACACCTAAAGGCTGAGTATATCAGTCCTGCCTGGCTGTATTCCAGTCAGTACTGCAAGTCATGCAGCTACACTTAAACTACTTTTTAGGTGGTGGTTTAAATACTGCTAGCAGAATAACTGTGGCAGTACCAAGCCAAACACAGGCTGCAAATTCTGCTTGAGAACTGGGGTAAATATTCAACTAGTTAACCCATGTGGAGCTCTCTAGTTTTGTAACTATACTGCTAAATATTTAATTTGAAGTGGCTCACTATGCAGTATACATACCCTGGTTGTTTTAGGTCAACCTCCTTTGCCTGACTTTTGGGGCTGTATTGTATTCATCCTTGTTCCCTGTCTTTTTTTTTTTTTTTTTTTCTTCAACAAAGGCTTATGCAATTCTAGTGATTGTGTAGGTATATGCCCTTGTTGCCTCATAATTTAGACCTTATTACCCCATTTCAGACAGTTTTGGTAGGGAGAGGATACAAATTTCATGTGAATAAATAGTTAGCTAGAGGAAAGAGAGCCTGTAATGGTCTCTGTATGTGTCCTGTCTGAAAGAAACAGTGTAATGCTGTTATTATACAGCACAGAGTTCACACTAGGTGCAGCCCTTTACAAATGCACTGAGTTAATAAATTTGGAAAACATTTCAGTTGGGCTTAACATCTACAAAACACCAGTCAATGAAAAAACAGATTTCATTCCTTCCATCCGTCCCAAGATGTTGTGATTTTAAGAGAGATTTCTAATTACTGTAAAACCATCAGGGGAAATAGTCTTGAGAAATGCTTTCCGATTACAGAAAATATTTTGCAGCACATTTGTTAGCCAACAAATTCACAATGTCTATCTGTTCTTTCCCATGTCATGCATTAGTTGATTAATAATTTTCAGAATTTCATTGCACTTTGGTACAAAGACTTGAATAATTACACCAACCTTCATAAAACTATTAACTGAATGTATTCAGCTGGTCAGTATCCATTTATGAGAATCACAAAAAAGGAATTGTTCCTTTCCTTTTGTTACTTCTGTTAGATTTGTCCCTCACCCCTTCCGTTATTGCTTTCTTCTGCTCCTCATGGTCATTCTAACCATTACTGGAAGTAAAAAGAGCTAAGGAAAAAAAAAGAATCGGTTGGCTCCTCCACAGGTACACTCAATCGTGTTTTTCTACGTGACATCTAACATTCATTATCCATTTACAGAGGCCACAGGTTTATCAGCAATACCTTCTGCCATGTCAGAGTATCAGATGTGCTGCTTTCACAATTAAGAAACATAAAGTTAGGATAATATCACTAGGCATGAAACCCTAAACTTCCAGACATTTGGGATGGATCGGCCTAGATCATTTCTTTCCAGTGAGCTCTTCAATGACCAGAAGAGTTTTACACTCAAAACACCAGGTTTATATTAAAATGTAGAATAGAACACTTAAGCTTTAAAATAAACTCTCAGAGAGCAGATGAGACAAAATAAGGGCGAACAGAGGTTTTACAAACAAGATCTCCTTTGCCACCTGCACGCTGGCAGAGTACTGTCAGCCAGCTGGGTGGCTTTGTGAGTTGCAATAAACTCTGTATAATTAGTTCTAGTTCACAAGATTTTTTTCACTTCATCTCTGAGGTCCTTCTGCTGTTTCTCTTCGCTTGCTTTCTCCTTAACTACAGGTTTCCACTCATTTCTTGCTGCCACACCATTTTTATTTTCTGAGTATGCACAGTTACTCGTGAGGAAAGCAGCACACTTCTAACCCTCCCCCAGGTGTCCTATCTTAGTCATGCACCACTTTTTTAAAGGAAGAATAGTGTACAGACTAAAAGCACAGAAATACAACTGATATGGTCTATCACAGGCAACCATACCCCACTTTTAAACTTATTCACATCCCATTGAACTGGCCACAAACGCACAGAAATAAAGCAAAAGACTTATTGTCAGTAACAATCATCAAAATCAGTAACTTCTAGAGTATGAGGAAGAGACAAACAGAAAACTGATCAGTACTTTATGTAACGTATCTCCAAAGCTCAGGGCCTTTTATTTTCTAGAAAAAAATAAAAGTTAAGAAGCCTGAGATATTATTGCAGGAAAAGCAAAGTGAAATTTGAGTTATAATTGGTTATAGGGGGAACTTGGGTGCTGAGATGCCCAGCATTGTGGCACCCAGCCTTCAAGGCTCAAGGAAAGGAATCAATAGTTCCAGGTTCAGTTACTGAATTTGATAAATAGTGCACGGGGTAGGCAGTGGAAGTTAAACAAGATATATTCATGATTCCCAGAACAGATACAGATTCCTATCTCTTTGGAGAACGGTGAAAATGTAGAAGCATAAAGATCCCCTTACCTTTTAGTTTTGCTTAATGGAATGTCAGCCTCTGGTGGGGACTGCCTGGTACCTTGTAGATCTGTTAAAAATTTGGGTGCATCCTTACATATAAGATCTGTGATTTCCTTGTGGGTAGCTACAGGTCTCCCCGATGGCAGCATGCACCCTGTCAACTTCTTTCATCAGACCTTTGGATCAGTCCCACTAAGGCTACAAGGAAGCGTCAACGGGAGAATATGATGGGAATGCAACACAGGAAATAACAGATTTCATTAGGGAGAGATTAGAAACAAAATGGATTTTTCATACACTTATGTCTTATCTCTGTTGTTCCTGCTATCTAGAAGCGTAACGTGGAAGCATTTAATGTTTGTAAGAGATGAACAGGGCGTTATGAAAAACCAGAAAATCTGGTACCACATTGACTGTAAATTACTTCAGGTACTGTAATTTACTTTAGATACTTTTATATTTGGGGCAGGTTATATATGAAAATGTACTGTGTTTCAAACATGCCTATTGAGCAGTTCCATGAGACAAAAAAAGTCACCACTTGAGTGAAAGCTGAAGGATTCAGAGGTGTTTTGGTGACACTAAAAAAGTGGGATGACACATTCCTTTTTACTGCTATTTACTCTGTAAACACGTGTGTCCAAATGTGCTAGTGAGTACCAGTTTGCTTTCTGAAGTCCTTGTTAGAATTTAAATCTAGGTGATTCAGTGCAGAGAGAAAGTGTACACGTTCTTAGCACCTGCCAGAGAGGTATCTCATGCACTGGCAAGACTTTTGTTCGGAGGAAAAACATTTGTATGTCTTTTCAGTGCTGAAGAATGT